CACTGTGCCACCACTAGCGACCCGCGGTGCTCTGATTTCCCTTCCTCCGACCGTACCTACTACTTCACCCATCCGGGATTTGTTGAGATCACCACCAGTTTCCCTCCTTTCTGCCTTCTTCTTCCATACCATCAACTCAACGTCGTTCCGTGGCCGGCCATAGCCCCCTTTTGGCCCAATACGTTTTGCGCAAATTGCCACCGTAGCAGCGAACAGAGAACTCCGGAACTCGGAAGGCCCTATCCAAATACGCGGAGGCCCGCGCCACGTGGCGGACCCCGACGACCTAACTTTTGACCGCCTCCGCCGCGGAGGAACTTTCCCGTCAACCGCCACCCTCACTGCCCAGGCCCCATCGAACCGTGAGCTCCTCTCGCACGCATTCCTCGTCCGCCTAATTACATTAATATCCTTAAGACTCCCCCACTTTCCCCAAAAATCCTTGGCACACCCCTTTTCGCACTTCCAGGCCCACACTCCACTCCGATCAGGAAGTCGCGCCGGGCGTGAGGTTGGGCGTCACAACGCAGGTATAACACGACTTCCTCCCTGATCCCACCTCTCTGCCGTGTATTTATGGGATAATGTTTGTGGAGTAATAATTTATCCCAATTTACAGGAAGCTTCTGTTCTAGTATTTATTAATATTAGTATTGCCCATTAACTTAGTGGTTTTGCTCGCATAGGGTTAGGCGTTATACTTGAGACATGGCTTCACCAGGGCTTCCCCGGCCCAACGTGCCGGAGGAGAAACAACGAATTTAGGATTTCATTTCACGATGTTATCTGGACTGAACTCCCCCCCCCCCCCGTCTGGCCCCATCCAAAGTCGATGAGGGGGAGGACTACGTGAAAGTAATCATGGACCCGGAACTTTACAAAATCCAGGTGGAATGGTTGCGAGAACACGCCGTGATTATCCAATTTGGTGACGACTCCTCGTCAGTCCCACTGAACGTTAAAAAACGTCTGGTACGGGTCTACTATGAATGGATGGGCCACAACGTCCCAAATTGCTCCACCTGTGAAAAGGGGTCTTTTCCATAATGAGGGCCACAATTTTATCACAAATATTGCCCTTTCCAAAGAGGTAGCGGTGTGGATGCTTAGAATGGCCTGTACGAAAATCGAACTTGACAAGGTAAAATATAGTATCTCCTTTGAACCTTGGATGACCGAAAACGTGCTCTGGGAGTGGAGGGAGGTTGCTCGACACCGGTTCTTTTGGATTACGTGCCAACAAGTCCCTGTTGGGGTTCTCCCCCTCCTCCCAAGGACAGTGCGTGATGCATATGGCTGTGATCTTATTAAGGAGTACTCAGCGTTCAAAGATAAACTAGACCCAGATCTTATGAACGTAAGATTTGACCTCGATTCAGCAACTTGGCTTCGCTATAAAAGATATTTGGTCATCGACCTGGGTTCAGACGGTTATGTGGAGCTTGAGGTGGTTTGCGCAGCGACCCCATGGTGCCCTACCTGTAGACGGCACTTCCACTCGGAGTGGGACGATGACCGCCAATCGAAAAAGAAAAAGTCTTATGCAAAGGTGGTCAAGGAAAAGGGAAACGAAAGTGGAAAGGTGGTGGGGAAGATGGAAGCCCATGGGGGAGGGGAGAAGGGGGGGGGAATGAGGGATGGGGGAAAGGAGGTGGAAGATAAAGGGAAAGGGAAACGATGGGAGAAGACCAAAACACACAAAGAGGGCAGTAACAGCGACAAGCAGAAAAGAGGGGATAAAATGGAGGGGGGAAGTGAAGACGGGGAAAAGCACATATGGAGAAATCCATATCAGAAAAAGAGAGGAGTAGGGGGGGGGTAAGGTGGGGATTGAAGGAGGAAGGACCGACAAGTTGAAAGAGAGACACGACAAAGAGTTAAGTTCATTGGGAATAATGGACAAAAGGGACAAAATGGATGAAGATCGGGTTACACTCGGTCGGGAGAAACGGAAACTGGATGATAGAAACGATCAGGGATGGAGTGATCAGGATTTGGCAGCAAAAGGAAAAGAGATTGTGGTGCATGAAGGGGAAGGAATCCCCTCCGGTTTTGGGTTTCTCTCTGAGTCCCCTTCTCCCTCGGAAAATGAAGATGAAGAAGGAGAGGAGGAGGAACCCTTGCCACGCACAGACGGGGTTGTGCTTCCACAGGTGCCTTTCTCTAGTGTACGAACCACTTTCCGCATCGCGCAATTTCCTGCGCGACAGTGATGAGGGGTCCTAAG